GGTCATCGGCTCGGGCCGAGGCGCGCATGCCATCGAGCATCGGCTCAACCAGCTGCGCTCGCGCCTCCCTCCCCACGTCGCTGAGCGGGCGCTGCCATCTCGGCAGAAGCAGCTCCAGACGTCGCGCTGGCTCGAGCTGGCGGAGCGATGCTGCAATCCGCAGACGCGGCCGAGCGGGCCGCAGCAGAACGATGCCGCCGTGGCCAAGGCGGCGCGTGCTGCGATCGCCGACGACGAGAACCTCGACGACGCCGGCAAGCAGGCGCTGCGGCGCGCCGCTGGCAGAGCCCCGCTCCAGCGGCTCCCGCTCTCTGGGCTCGCCGCGAACTACACGGTGCCGCCGATGCGCATATCGAGGAGGGCTCGGTCGTCTCACTGCCTGCTCACTGCAGCAGCGGGACGGCAAGCGGATCGACCACGGGCGCGTCCCGACCGCGGCGCAATATGGGCCCTCGGCGAGGCAGGTGCGGATCCCGGAGAAGTGGCATCGGTCCGCATCAACGACACCCGCTTCTTCCTCCTCGACGCAAACTCGGCCCTGGCCAGGCTGAGGCACACAACGTACAACGTGCTCGACATCCAGAGCGGCACCTCGATCGCCGACCTCCTCTCCAACGTGAGCGCGTGGCTCGACTACCATGTTCAATCCCCCCTCCGGGTGATGCCAGGGCAGCAAAACGGGCTACGGGTGGTGCCATGCAGCCAGCCTGACCCCCTAGAGCCGCCCGGCACCACCGCACCGGTGTGAGGCGTGATCGTGCTGCTTGGGGTACATTGTTGTTTTCATGGGCTCGAATGCGGTGTGAAAAAGGCGCTCCGAGGTGCCGATTTTGCACGAGAGTGCGAGGTTCGAGCTCTCGTGCTCCGTCCACAGGCTGCGAGCCGTCGAGTGCTCGCTTCGCACTTTCCATTGGGTCCGTTGGCGCATATCGGGCGCCTCGCAGGCACGCCGTCCCCGCGTCTCTGTGGAGGAGATGCGTCACCCGGTTGCACTCAAATCGCAGCCGAACGCCATATCGCTCCGTGTGCCCCACCGGTGGCTAGCCTGCCGCCACCGCTTCTTCGCACTTTCCATCAGATGTGTGGGCGCGGGGCGGATGCCTCGCCGGCAGCCGAGGTGCTCTCTCCTCGGATCCTTTGCGTCACCCGCAAAAAGTTCTTCGGAAGCCACTGCCGTCTGGGCACTCCACCAGCCCTCCTCGCCTTTTGAGGCTGGGATTGGTGTCGCCCGTGGCATCTGCGCCGGTCGAGAGCTTCCACGTCGCTCATGCGCATCAGGGCGAGCGAAAC